TGATGCCTTTATAACAAACCTGTACATGTCTGAATTGAATCGAGTGTGTGCATGAATGCAAATGTTTTTAGGTAAAGGGCTTTCTTGTATTTATATATGTGGTTGATGGAGTAAGCTAATGATTCCATGTGGAGAGAAGGGCTTTAAAACGTAATAAATAGGCTCGGGAAAAGGTACACATTAGATCATACCCTTAGACATTTCCAAAACCTAATGTAAATATTGAAATAACAGAAAAGCGGTGAGTGGACAACAATGCTAACAATATATTATAAATTGTTTTTGGATGTCTGAAGTATAATCACTAATAGAGCAGGGCATGATGACAACCTGGCAGGACATCTGGAATAACTGAGTGTAGAGATAATAACATCATTTAAATCTGTCAATGTCAAATAATATAGGTGAATGTAGAATGTTGTAGATCAGGACTCAATGACACCATATTACATCACAGTAAATGTGAGACTTAAAGAATGTGGGAAACATAATTAGTTGATAATGTATTGCTATGAATTAGAAGATTCAGTGTAAAAATAGAAAGAATCAACGTGGAAAGGGAAAAGGTGTAAGACTTGTTTGGTGATGAATTAGTTCAGGTTAAAAGGGCTTTTTTAATGTGAATGAAATTGGTTTAATATAAGCCATACATGTTTTTGGTTGTAATAATTATATGAGAAGAGCTGTCTTTTACTATTACTGCTGGACATCAGCTTGTTGTAGCTGGTTGGTGTAGTTTCTTGATGAAATGCTTGTAATTCATTTCCTCCACAGGTATGGCTGGAAGTTCACAGGCCCATTATTGAGTTAGGTGTTCATCCTCAAATGCAGTGAAGATAATACAGACCTACTTATTTCCATGATGAAATGTTTAGCCTTAAACGCATACATTTTGGTGCCTAAAACACCGTTGTCATTTCATATGTAAATCAGTCCTGTTATCTAAACTGATAAAGTGTGATATCTGACAAGTTATCTGTTCAGGACATGTTGATATTTAGATTTCTGTTATACTTACAAGATTATAGAATTAAAATAAAGAACAAATACCTGAAAAGTGTTCAAAAGTATTTTCTAACACAGGTATTGTGTGATATACTGGATAGTCACAAAGAGGTATATATTTTTTAAACATTTAAAATGTGTAGTTACAAATCATCCTGACGACCTTTCTTAAAATCTCGGGAATCATTAAAAGGCTTCAAAACCACTTAGTTTAGAGTGGCAGGATGTCAAAGTTACTTTCCAACAAATAATACATGTGTTGTTGTTGTTGTTGTTGTTGTTGTTGTCTTTAGACTGAATACCACGAGCATTCCAGGTGGTAAACTCATAGTGGATTGAAAAGTGTATTAAGGCAATGTATTTGCACATGTTTCATCATAACTTGAACTGATACTAGTTCTGATGACTCCCATCACTAAGGCCTATTGCGCCATGTGTAATGGTGCATCACAGTCCCTGGAAATATAGCATAACACATGAATACTCTCCGTGAGGGGGCGAAGGCTGGGAACAATAACAAACTGCCGCTGTGAAAAGTAGAGACGAAGGTCACACGTTGTCCAGCGATAAAAGAGGGGGGGGGGGGGACATTCCCTGCGTGCCGAGAGGCAGGAGAGAGAGGCGCACAGCTGGATCCCTGACAGCCAGTACTCAAGTTGTAAAAAAAAAATCAGGGGGGATGGTGGATTTTATCATATGGGGACATCATTTGTGCTGATAGCCCGCCGAGGGTGGGAGACCAACCAGCATAAAGATAATTCGTATACTCCTAAAACAACATGCATGTTATGGATGTTCAGATACTCCCTTCATTGCTCTTGACCAAGGCACCTCAGAATTAGAGTCGGTCCCCGGGCTGCCATGGCACCACTAACATTTAGGGTCAAATGCAGAGGACAATTAGTGCAACATCTTTTTTTCACTTTAATTTAAAGGGGGGGAGGGGATACAAAAATGTGGTTACAATGGAAGTCTATGGTACAAATCTTGTAGGTTAACATTCCCTCCTTTATTATTCAGATGGATCAGCTGATTATACTAATAATAAAGTCAAAATTGTTTTTAGAATATTGAATTATAGTGTATCAAAAAAGGAGTTACTGGTATACGATCAAAACTGGTATCTAAAGGGTTACATTTTTATCGTAATTAATTAAATCATTATGTAAATTAAAAAACTTCATGAAAAATTTGAAGAAAAAAATTAGAAAAATATTGATCCGTCATCATTTTATTGCAGTTCAAATACAAATATTTTATGTTAACATTCCCAATGTTACTTTTTTTAACAGGGCATTAAGTGCAAATTGAAATTGTTTCCAAAATATGAAAATATATTAAAAGATTATACAGATAATACAAAATAGGACCAATGTTGTCAATGGCTGCCTACTCCACTCTCTCCCATCTCATAGAAGTTTCCAAAGATTTTCATAATCATGCTTTTTGGTCTCAATTTTTCTGGCTCTTGCTTTTGGATTGTTAGCTAAGCAATGGCTTTGAAGCCAAGTCTTGACATATACCTCTGGTCTGAACTTGTTCAGTGGAGGGCCAACACACTTGATGAAAAGCAAGGCTGACATGCTTTTGACCTCTAGGGAGCTTCTAGTTGTGGTTAAAATGTTCATCTGACTAAACCCACGTTCACACTCAGCTGTGGAGATGACCAGAGTGTTCACTGCTTGAAGGAGGGGTTTCAGCTCTTCTGGTGCTGGTGGTATCATTTCATCAACAGTGTTGAGTCTGACCAGCTAGCTAACACGAGAGAAACACGTAGCTAAACTCCAAACTAAGTTGTTATTGCTGCTTATGTCCATAGATTCCACCTTTGGTGAAAAAGTAGTGAGTAATGAATAAGATTACTGACTCTTGACTTACCTGAAATGTTATTTTTAGTATTTTTAAATATGAAGTCCCTCAGATCGCGTTGTCCTCCTGGTCGCTTGGCCATTGTGATGACCGTTACCTGCGCTTCTGGCATCGATCAAACAGGCGCATCACGGCGCTCTGGCGCCCTCTAGGGCACTCGCATAGTATAGCGTCAGTGACTTGGTAAAAATGTCATTGCGTGTGTGCGTGCTCCCTCGCCCACAGTATTTTACTCAAAATGCGCAAAATTAATGTTGAAATAGCAGTAATACCAGTGCCACGTTCATTGTTAAAATTAACAAGGGATGGAAAGGGGGAATGGCAGTTTTAGAAGGCGGATGATTTTGACCGTTTTTATTTCAGGGGGGATGCCATCCCCCCTCATCCCCCCTCAACTCGAGTACTGCTGACATCACTCACTCCGACAAGACACTCAGTACTGAGTGTGTCAGCGAGGAATGGGAGACATCCCTCAAATACAATTGAATGAACGAACAGGGGGAAGACCAAGATGCAGCACTGCAAATGTCTTCCACCGTCATTCCTCCGTGCAAAGCCGGCGTAGAGGATGAAATTCCTCTGATGGAGAGCCCACTGATCCCGGTGGATGCATCCCAGAGACATACACCTGCGACACAGCCTCTCGCAGCCAGTGTTTACCCAGTAGTCCCCTCGTTATAATGTTAAATAAAGGAAAGCGTGAAAGTTGGTTTATCCTCTCGATTAATGCAGTACAAACCACTTTACTTAAATTCTAGTAAAATATTGGCGTGCTCGGTGTAGGTGACGGCATCACGGTACTTAGTTATTCCAAGTATTTTAATTAATTACTTTTTCACTTGAATGTTAATGTCACATTTGGCATCGTCGGTGCCGATCCAAACACCTTCAGTTTAGCTGTGGTTTAATTTAGCTCCTGATGCTAATTCATATAGGTTTAGGTGGTTTGTTAGAACATCCATTTCCTGTTGGTTTTTATTATAACAGTAACATCGTCTGCAGGCGATGGCAGTTATTTTGGGCGCATGGCCAACTGGTGTTCCTGATATGAACCTGTCATTGTTTGTTATTTTAATGAATGGACTTATGGCTAGCACGTACAGAGCTGCGCTTAGAGGGCACCCCTGCTGCTTAACCCCTCTCTCAACATTGAATGCATTTGTTAACACAACGTTTACATTTACACAGACATAAGATTTAAAATACAGACACTTAATCATGTTTATGAAGGCTTCAGGAAATCCGTAGGCCTTCATCACCGACCATAAGTAATCCCTGGATAAATAGTGGAAGGCTTTCTTTTGATCAAGTCCAATAATTAAAAAAACTTTCTTCCTCCGGTCTTTCCTCTTCCTGACATTTTCTGTTTAGGTTAGCAGAAAACAATACTTCCTCATCGATTGGTGGTGGTCTATAGAGTGAACATCTGGCCGCTGATTGGTCAGGTCGAGTGGTACTACCATCGACCAATCAGAGAAGCGTTAGTCCATTCACTGTGTCAAGTACAAAATACCTCACATAATTAAATCATCGAATAACATATACTATAAAATAGATCTGACTATACACATATACTCAAACAATATAGTGTATTCTTAGAGAAATATTTTAAAATAAAGTATACTTAAAGGATCAAAGTGAAGCACACTATAAGATAGTTTGGCATGCTGAAGTGACAAAACAAATGACCAATGTGACCATTAAAGTATATCCAATATAATCTAATTATTAAACATACAAAATAAAGTAAAATAATGTATTTATTATCAAAATCAGGAGCTAATCCGATCTCCTCAAGTACAAGTGAATTAATGTGTAATAATAGTCACAATTATATGTAGCATTAAATAAGTTTCGATGTACATTTATATGAAGTTATATAGGCCTACAAAATATTTACATAGGGTTTATACACTATCAAGTATATGGGAAAATATGTATGTTGTGAGTGACTGTCAGAGGAGCCTTCTGTGAAGTGAATGTCTACTAATATAGCAACATAATAGAATGTGTTGTAAAATTAACTAACTTATATGATAATGATAAATAACCACAACATCTTCTGGTTTTGCAAATAAATATGCAGCAGACTTTAACAAACTTTTATTTATGCTAAATTAAATATTAAAACAGGAGAGTGCTCTTTCGGTGTATGTGGGTGGCTCTTAAAAGAGCCTTTTGGAGATGAAGTAGAGGATCTGTTTACTTCCTCGATGCTTTCCTGGCTGGTGCCTTCTTCACAGCTTTCTTGGGGGTTACTGTCTTCTTGGGGGTCGCTGCCTTCTTGGGGGTCGCTGCCTTCTTGGCCGCCACCTTCTTCTTCGGGCTCTTAGTGATCTGCTTCACGGGGGTTTTCTTGGCAGCAGTAGCAGGCTTCTTCGCTACCTTCTTGGGAGTTACTGCCTTCTTGGCAGCTGGCTTCTTAGCGGCGGGTTTCTTCGCTGCTGCTGCTGCCGGCTTCTTGGCTTTGGCTGCGGGCTTCTTCGCTGCCTTCTTGGGCTTCTCGGCGGCCTTGGCTGCCTTGAAGGAGCCGCTGGCTCCGGATCCCTTGACCTGCACCAGGGCTCCATTCTCGAGTAACCTCTTCACGGCGCGTTTAATGTGAGCGGTGTGTTCGTAGCCCTGAGCGGCCAGCGCCTTCTTCACCGCGATGTAAGAGATCCCTTTACGGTCCTTGGAGGCGGTGACCGCCTTCAAGATGAGCTCAGCTGCTGCGGGACCAACCTTCTTGGCCGGCTTGGCTGCCTTCTTCTTCGGGGACTTGGCTGGTGCCTTTGCCGGGGCGGCGGCGGCGGAGACTTCAGTGGGAGCTTCTTCTGTGGCCATGATGCTGTCAGGAGGATTCTCGGTCTGATGAGACGGAGAGAGAAATCCCAGCGAAGAGAGGAAGTTAAACTCACCATGAGAACCGTAGAGACTCAACTCAGTGGCTCACACAGGAGCTGCAGAAAAACTGTGCCACTTTGTGCTTTCTCTTCAGATAAAACTGTACAAAATACACATTTAGAGAACGAGTTGAATTTCAAAGGTTAATCGAATTGATGGCGGATTACTTTATCTTCATATAGAAGTGAAATAAAGCTTTAATTATTGTTGTGTTTTCATTAGGAAGGCTTTAAACCTCCTAAAACTACTGCCGTGAGAAGGACTAATCTGCGACTTTTTCCTATAAATGATCTCCTGAACAACTTAAAATGCTTCATATTCTCAATAAAACTAGTAATATAGTTAGGCGAGATGTTGTTTTAAAGACTCAAGGTGAAAAAAGGCAGTAGTTGTAAACAATTATTTGTTAAACAGAGGTAATTCTGCTGTCTGCAAACACACTCCCATCAGGACAGGCCCTGGCTGTGTTTTAAATACAGTCTTTGTTACTCAACAGTGAGAGACCTTCATTTAGCACAGCTTTTCTCATGTACATCACAATACAACTATATTTATATAGTAGTATGATTTATAATAACAATCTGAAATGTGTTAGACAGATTATATATCTAACCCTGTAATGACAGAAAGGCTCTCATACAGACACGCACTCCCTCTGGTAGTATATGAACTCCCTTTAACTGTCAAACTTGTTTTTTATCGAATTCTGAGAAAAATGGAAAGTAATTTATTTTTGACGCAAACACAGGGGATCATGAAATCAAATGAATAATACCCATAAAACCTCTTTGTGTTATACTGTGATCAGAATAATTACATTCAAGGAGATTTAGAAACGTATGACCCTTGTTTGATATAATTTGATTAGTACAAGTTATTTATTCGCCAAATTGCTGCCCTCTTATTGCTATTGTGTTTTTACATTTCAGATACTTCTGACCATAACTGTCATAAAATGCTTTGAATATGCGATATAGTCTGAGGTATTGTTCTAATTTGTCAAGAAATGTGTTATTTGTTGTACAATTTATTTAATGAGAAAATGCAAATGTCCCTGTTTTGTGGTGAATAAAGATTATCCTATGCTAAATTCCACTATCCCTTATTTCTTGTTTCTTTTTTACTTATGTGCAAAAAAATATAACGGATACATCGCCTTTTTAAAGAACCTATCTCATGGAAAATGAGCATTATGAGTTGGGCAACAACCTAAACAACTGCAGTTCAGACAGATCAAAGCGTCTAACAAGTGACATGTAATGTAATGTAGTTGTAGCCCCTTGCCAGCGATTCTCTCTCTAGTTTAGCATACTCAGCCCGACTCAGCCTGGTTGTTGGCCCGCTAAGAACCTCGATTTTTGGGGCCAGAAAAACTGTGAAATAGTACCCGCTAGCCGGTACTAGGCCAAGTGGAAACGCAACCAAACACGGGCCGGGCACAGCACGCTTAAACCGCGCTGTAGTGGAAATGTGCCATAAGTGAGCTATAAATCCACAACATTCATTACACTTCCTTTAACCTGTTGAGCCCCAAGCCGGGTTTCAGGTCTCAGGCTCGAGATGACATTCACAGAACAAATGACCATATCTTCCCTTCTAAAAGGGGACAATTAATAATCCTTGTTCTCAAAGCAATGATAAACCTGTGAGTTGGATGTAGAAAAGTCAGAATCAATATAGATGTTTTTTATTTTAAAGTAAATTCATATTGAACATAGTAAAACATGTATAGTTTCCGTCCAAAAAAACCCCATTACTTAAAGTGAAAACCAGCCTTGAATTAGCCGCATTCACACCGCAGGACTTTCCCTGGTACTTTGGTTCTTTAGTTCCGTTAATACCAATAATGTCGCGTTCACACCGCCGGGACTACTCAGTGTCGGGAACTCTTTTGGCCATTTTCAGTCCCTGCCAGAGAGGTGGTACGAACCTGGTGATAAAAGAGTGCCAATTTCTATTCTATTTCTATTGGCTGGGCAAATTGCAAACCACGCCCCGTTAGACTCTGAATTTTTTTCGCTACAAAACCACATCCACACCTGAGCGAGTAGTTTTTTTGTACTTTAAAGCAGTTATGACCACACGTACTACAACACCGGAGCGGTGGAAAGATGAGGAAGTGTCGGCGCTTCTGGCAATTTACCCCGAGGACGGGATGCAGCAGCTTCTACAGAAAGCAGTTCCCAACTCCAAATGTTTTGAGCGATGTCCGCAAAAGCTACTTGAGCTGGGAATCGTGCACAGTGCACACGGATGCCGGGTAAAAATAAAGAAACTCAGACAGGACTATAACAAAATTAAAGACCACAATAATAAGAGTGGTAACGATTTTCTATTGTTATTATATATATATATTGCCACTGTTTTTTAATACTGACACCTAACTTGCACTAAGTGCTGCTATATATTGCCACTGTTACATTGTTTTGAAACTACTTACACTTTATTTTACATTTCACACTTTTATTTAACTTCAATGTACATGCATACGACACACCTGGAAGAGTGTGATGCCGTTATTGTTATGTCTTGACTGTGCAATAAAACAAACAAACTGGCGAAGCTTTATTTATTGTGTCCCACCCAAGCGGCAAACTGTGGGGTAGAGCCGGGAAGCCAATACGGAAGTGCCACACACTGCAGTTCATATATTGGCCGATAGGCGATGGCTGCAGAAAGGAGCAATTTCCATAGACCCCCATGTTAAAATGCCCAACTTTACAGCAGAAAAAAACCTGTTTCTACCCCTGGCTCCATACATTTTATTATCGATATAGTTAGATTCCACCTTCATGATTATGGATCTGTGAGTGAATTGTTTTCTAACGTGACCCTTTTATTTATATTAGGTCTTAAAGTTTGTGCATAAATTAGGGCGCGGTCACATTGAGTGACGGCTCTGTCAAGTGCCTGCCGCTGTTAGCTTCTTGTCTCTCTGCTAGCTGCTCCGTGAAGCTACAGGGACTCTGCCTGCTCAGCTCATCCAGGAAACACAACTTGTAGCCGGCCGTGGTTGTTTGTTCTTCATGCTTATATATCGGACTATTGTGACTCGCTCTGCGGTTAAAACAGACGCTGCATGAATGCGGTTTTGCGGTAAGTGAAATTCTAGTGCTTTATTTATGTGTTAATGATTTTAATCAGCTACGTAATGAATGGTAAGGCTTGGGTTAGCATGTAAGCTAGTGGTAGCTACATCGGTGCTAACGATTGTAATCGTAGCCTCCAAGTTAAAATCATAGACTGTATATATAAAGGTTACAACAAAATAGACAAGTGTTAAGTGGGATAATACTGTTGAACAAACGGCTTCTGTTTGAGGTTGATAAAATAAGGTCATCCTTGTAACTTAGAGATATTTTATTATGTAGGTAGAACTGTATGCATATAAGGTTAATTTAAATTGGCTATGCTCAAGTATGTAGACAAGCTAATGTCGAAGTAGTGTATGTGAAATCAACCTCACAATAAGATGTGTGTATATTACAATTATTAATGTCATATTTCAAGATGATTACTTAGATATTACAATATGGTTGGTTGAGCTGGAGTTCATTATTGAGCTGACACGTTAACGTCACAGTCATCTGAAGAACGAACCCAAACCTTGTTGTTTTTATTAATTGCATTACCAAATGGGTATCAAATAAACAGTAAGCATTGGTAACACAACTTCCAAAGTTACAGTAAAATAAAAAGGCCCCTGACTCGGACAATACACAATCCAACATGTTCAACAGAAGAGAATCAGTTATATTGTTTGTACACATGGTACTTTACATATATATATATATATATATTAGGGCCGGGACTCGATTAAAAAAATTAATCTAATTAATTAGAGGCTTTGTAATTAATTAATCGAAATTAATCGCATTTATAATCACATATAAATATTTGACCTGAGAACAGTGAGAAGCAATTTTTTTCACATGGATTTTAGTATACCATTAGGCGCATTCACACCGCAGTACTTTTCCCACAAAGGTTCATGAGAACTTAGTTCATGAGAACTCTTTGAACCTGGGGGTGAATTAGGCAAATGAAGCCGCTGACGACACTTCTTCTTCTTCTGCTTTGGGTTTACTGGCAGGCAGCAAACCACTTCACATCGTATACTGCCGCCCAAAGTCCCCGGCCGGAAGTCCCCGGAGTTGGGGACTGGCTTCAGTAGAAGCTGCTGGGAGTCCCAGCAGCTTCTACTGAAGCCTTCCTAGTAAATCGCCAGAACGCCGACACCTCCTCATCTCCACCGCTCCCATGTTTTATTTTGTGTTGCCATAAGTTAGTCTCTCTGCGTTTCTGCGCTGGGCTAATGCTAATAATGCTAATGCGAGGATAATAAAATGGCGGCTTCACAAAACTTTTTGGGAGTTTTACGGGGCGTGGTTTGCAATCCGCCCAGCCAATCAGAAATATAGCTCTTTCTCACAAGAGAGCCGTATGAAAGTCCCTGCTCTCTAGCAGCTCTCTGCTCTCTAGCAGGGACTTTCGTGGGGGTAAAAAGGTTCTCATGAACTAATTTTAGTACCGGCTCTTTTGGTGTGAACGCGATAAAAGAGGCTAACGTCCACGCTAGCTTCCACGCTAGCTGCTATATGTTTTTGCATTGAGGTGATACTTGAGGCTTGATGTGCTGCGGTGATATGCGAATTCCTTTTTGCATAATTTGCACACAACCGTGCTCTTATCGACACTTCCATCCGTCCGTTTTTTAAAACAACATTTCCCACTGTTGTTCACTGTGGTTTGTTGTTGTCTGAAGTCATGAACGTTAGTTGGTGCTCCAGTATAATCGGTACGCCTGAAACTCATCCAGTGAGAAACGTTCCGCGGTGCAAAAATAAGTGCGATTAAAATGCGTTAATTTTTTTAACGCGTTAATTTTTGTGTAATTAATTAATCTTAATTAACGCGTTAAAGTCCCGGCCCTAGTAATTAATTAATCTTAATTAACGCGTTAAAGTCCCGGCCCTAATTATT